ACAAGTGCCACGCTAGTAGTAACAAGTGCCTTACTAGTAGTAACAAGTCTCATTTTTCAAAGTCCACCAAGGGCACCCCATCCTTGGAGGGTGCGCCATCACACATAGAAGCACATCATCTTCTTGGAGCCCTGCTTGAGGAATCGGGAAAAGTAAAACATATTCCCCTAAGCAAAGGGGATTTACCATAGGGGGAAACAAAAAAAACACCTAAGCAAAACCAAGTATTTTCCAAACATGTCCATGCGTGCATATGGGCTGAGGTGGACTGCAAGTCAACATTCTCATGCCCTCATTCCAGTCGGGGAAGACGTTAAGCACTCAACAACAACATTCTCCCCCAACTAACTGCCTCAAAACTCACTCATGTTTCACCTCAAAGAAGCTATTAGAATTAAGTTTAAAGTAAATTAATAGCTTCTTGTTACTACTAGTAAGGCACTTGTTACTACTAGCGTGGCACTTGTTACTAATAGCTTCTTGTTTCACTCATGTTTCACCTCAAACGCACCTAACCTAACCCATGTTTCACTCTCAAAGCAGACCCCGGCGGGCACCGCGCGGCGCCGACCGGCGGGACTTTTTCCGCGGCGCACCTTGAAGCCCGGCACCAGCGCACGCTGCCAAGCGTCCGACCACAGCGCCTCGTCGCTGGTGAGCCGTGGCACACCTGAAAAAGTGGAGAGAAAAGCTGGGGAGGACACATGTAGTGATGCATCAATCCGTTTCAAGGCATTTGGAGATCGTTCTGTGATGATGAGAAATGTTGTTTGATTGGAATGGTTCAAAAGTTGAAGAGTTTGGGGGGGCATGCATTGATGTTGTTGGAGAAGAGCGCGGCTGACTCTGTTTTGTCTTTGGGCGTTTCGTGGTGAAGCAGTGGTTCCAGCCGCTTCCGCTTGCCGCCGGTGCTTCGTTTTGGTCAACCCACATCTACCCCAAACAGCCCACAATGAAACACCCTTGCCATCACTGGCACAAGCGCACCAGCTAAGGAAGAATATACATATATATATATATATGTAGCTCAGCTCACATAGCCACTTGCGAATCCACGTCTATCTCTCCCAGGGTTCCTTCTTTTGGAGGGAAACTTCCACTGAAACGCTTCTCCCACAGAACATCTCGTGCCTTGTATGTCTTGGCCCATTCTTCTGAGTGGCTCCAGATTCATGAAACAAACCGCACTCTTTAGATCCCTCTTTTCACCCCATTAAGAAGACTTCAGAACACAGACCCCTGGGAGGAGTATCGTGTCTGTGGTTCTTGAGGAACATAGCCTCCATACATCTCGGTCGGATACCAAAGAATGCAACCCTCCTGAGACATGCGTTCCAGTGCTGCGCAGTGCACTGGTTTAAACAAGAAATATCTTTATAAGTCTTTGTAACCTTCTAAGTCTATCCAGCATGGACATGGATAGCTGGATAGCTGAGTGGAACTCCCCCTGTGTGTGTGTGTGTCTGTGTGTGTCTTTCTGTAGTCCACGTAGCGTTAAAGCCCCCCTGTGTTTTATAGCTGGGTGGAAATGTGGAAAGGACTCCTAACCAAGTACTATGGTAGTGTTTAAAGCAGTCCTTTCCCCGTTTCCACACCTCATCGGATAGGACGTCAATGCTGATCGGCTTCCACTCCTTCCACCCATCAAGCCCACCAAACCAAACCAAAAAAAGAGAGCCTGGAAACCCCGTCTCAACTAGATGTGTTTTACAAATTCGCCCGCTCCCCCCCTCCCGTAGCGTTCGTACCATACGTGTGTACGCTACTAGTGTGGATAGCTCACGCTTCTTCGCTCCCGAAAACGGAGCTTCCGAACGAAGAAGCGCTCGCACTGTTTATTTGGTTTCTAGAATTTTTAGGAAACTTAAGCCCTAGGCCAAAATGTGCACAGGGGATGAGATCCTTTACACAGGAACTGGCTGGGACTGGGGGAACATCCATTTGTTTTTGGTTGGGAAGTTTCCAGGCTGTAGTCATTGTATATGCATGTCTTGCTTGAGATCCTTTGCAGAACAAGTGATCCAAGTGGTTGGGACCGTGGAAACAACCAATTTGAGGTTTCCAGGTTATCCAATCCGTGCGTTTCAGAGAAAATCTCACACGGACGGTCTTTTGGTGATCATGGTTTAGGTCTGACCTGGTAAAAACCGTAAAAAAACATCGACCAACGAAGATCGGCACACACAATTCCTCCACCAAGACTCTGTCGACCAGCACATCCTTGCAGGACACAAGACGGAAGAAGAAATACAAATCAAGCTGTGGCCGCAAAGCAAAAGCACGAAGCAAAGCCAAATGTAGCAAGGCAACAAGCCGGCTCCTCAAGGAATTTTCTGGCAAAGGGTCTATATCTTCCCTGATTTTTGCCCAGGCAAAACCTAGGATTCCAACCATTATGTATAATATATATATATATATACACATAAGAACAGCCTTTACCACATAACCATTGCTTTGCCAAAAGTTCTAGTCCGACCAGAACCAGCTCCACTGAACTTCTGTGAATGGTCAAACGGAGGAGAACGCGAACGGAAGGCGAGACTCTCATTCGATCCACGTTTCCCTCCAACTCTGCATCCGTTCGATCCATTCTCTCGAGCCGAACCTGACCGAACAGTCCATCTGGATTTGACGAGGGGACGTTCCCAAATGTTCCCCACATAGGTGAAACGCAATTGATCCATATGGAATCCATCCACAAACGAAGACCGCATCCGCCGGTTTCCGGCACGGATTCCGGTCGGTCCGTCAAGACACCTGCTGGCGGCAATGATCCAAGAAGGCCTTCCAGTTGGGATCAGTGGAAAGCCTCCAGTGGAAAGCTCAACGACTGATCCAACGGCGAGATCCCGAGATCTCTCGAAGGAAGGCCATCAGGCTAGTCATTGAAGACTCCCAGAAAGGCATTGACGTGTTCATTGAATCTGCAAGTTGTGCCACTACATCTGTACCTTCTCTCGCTCGCTCTCTCTCTCTCTCTCTCTTGCTTGGTGTGGGTGTGTCCGTCTGTAGATTTCTGTGGTGCCGGTGACTTTGGGGTTTCTACCTCACCAAAAGGGGTCCAAAGGCTGGAGCTGGGTGCTTTCACGCCCAGCTATTTCGGCCCCACATGGCCCAAAGTGTTCCCGGGATCTGCCTTCCAGCTCCCAGTGACCGCCCCCTTGCCAAAGGGGAAGAACTGGATGACCCCTTTTGACCCTGACAGTCACAGTCACTCCCTCCGAAGTCGTTCAGCTCGGAACATGTTTTGCTCGATACAATTCCAACCATCTCTAGTTGGTCACAATAGCGGAGCGGAATACAACACACCAATTTGATCTCTGTGGATATTATATGGGGGGGTCTTGACAGTGATTTTATAGATATGAAATGGTGGTGGACACCCCCTGGGGAGCATAAAGTGCTCAGGCCTTTCCCCAGATAGGTCTCTATAAAATCATTCAACCTCAGGCCACCATGTGCCTGAGCAGTGACCAGAAACACATAAAAACAATTCCGCGCAACGGGTCCGTTTCTTGATACAAGCAGCTTTCCTCTATAAAATCCAACCCCCACGCCCCCCTGGCCAGGGACCATAAAACGTTTTAGGGGATACCATGACCCCTGTGATTTTAGAGAGGATACCCACTTGTCTCAGTGCTGTGACCGCGTCTGTTTACCAAACTAGCCAATTTTGGCTCATCTCATCGACACTAAAGACAGACACGAGAAAGTAAGTATATTTCAACCATGTGAATCAGCTGCACTTCTTCTGAAAAAAAAAAAAAACATTCATCTCTGTACCTTTTGCCTCAACGTTTCACCCTTTCTTGCGCGGCCGGGCTCGTTTTGGTGCTTCGCTTCCGAGGCACGTGGCGGAATCCCCCAAGACCACCAGCCCGCGCCGGGCGCGGGTCAGCGCCACGTTGAGGATGTGACCGTCCGCGAGGATCCCTGGTTGCCAGGACCAAGCGGTGCGGTGGTGTGGTGTTGGAGCGTGGGGGAGGAGGTGATGGAGGTCAGGGTGACCGTTTGGGATCTTTCTTGTGGAGTAGTCAGGGTAGTTATTAATCAAGAAATGGGGAGGGGGATTCCAGTGAAGAATTGATTCGGAAGGAAGACGTGAATTAAATTGGCGTGGGAAGAACCCTAATTTTGGAGACTTGACAATGGCCATTGTTCACTTAGACATTGATTGATCCCATCTTGATCCCTGTTTCGAGCCAGCTACCAGGGCAAGACACGACTCTTGACCCTCACAACTAGGATGTTCAATGGCCCGAAGCAACTTGTAGTAGATGGTTCAGATCCACAAGACTCTTGGGATGAAAGAAACTTTCAACCTGATGACGAGATAAGCAAGTAAGCTGCCCAGGCCAACTCAAATGACATGCAGCAAACAACAAAATCACACCACATCAAAGGGAAGAAAACTCAAATGTCTTCAACACCATTCTTTTGACTTCCCATCCCATCTGGTTGAAACAGTCTGGCGCCTAAACGTCCCTGCATGGAAGCGCCACCTCTCCTGGCGGCTGGGGAGAAAAAAAAGTGCAGACATGTGCAGACTGGGCAGTCACATCCATCCGATCATCAAAGCAAACAACCGTAGAGAGAGAGAGAGAGGGCGAGAGAGCGAGAGAGATATGGAGGGAAAGAGAAACAACATTCTGCATGCGAGCTGTTCATTCTGGTTTCGTCCAAGAAAATCAAGAACCATAAGGGAAAAAACAACATTTGCTTCCTCATGTTGTTGCTTCCTCGCATCTTCAACTGCGATCGGTAAATGTGATGGATTGGTCAAAAAGGGACGCTTGATCAATGATGTCCACAATGGGGAAAAATAGAGGGGTCGGTTTGGCACCATATACACCTATTGGTTGTGCAATTGAGGGCATCCCCTCTATAAATCAACCAACCAATAGCAAAAGGCCAACGATGCACCAACTTTTGAGAACACTCCATCTCCACGCACGCAACTCGCCCCGCCCCTCGACTTGAAATCTCAACCAAGACACTTCCTTGAGAAACAAGAAGCTAGTAGTAACAAGTGCCACGCTAGTAGTAACAGGTGCCTTACTAGTAGTAACAAGAAGCTACTAGTTTGTAGGCCCCTCCAAATTGCTTGGCCGCTGGGGTGTTTCGGCTCGCTCGAACGTCGCCCACCTCACGGTGCTGAGAATCACGTAGTCCCACTCGCTGCCCTGGGCCGTCGCTACCTGAAATGACACGTGGCAGTGACGTTGAAATGACGGATTCGGTGGCCCAGTTGACGGTAGGCTGCCCTCCCTAGTATCTAGTCATGTCTATTCTGTGCATTTCCATGGTCAAAACCAGGGTTTCGGGTCAAACCTGACTCACAGTCACATCGAAGGAAACGGCCCCCAAGCTTCCGAGCTTGGAGCCGAGCCGAACCCACGTTCGCGCCCTTACGAGTTGGTCGCCTTGGGTTGGATGGTATGTATGAGGCGCGATAGGTGAAACCACAAGGAAAAACGCCACTCAGGTTGGACGGGGAGGCGGTTGGGAATCATCAAATGCACGTTTAATTCAAGAGAGTTGTGAAGTGTCCTGATGCAAACTGAGACACCTTAAAAGCATCCATTGCGTACATTGTACATGTTTAAGAAAGGATTCAGTCAAGCTGGCCAGCACCATTTTCTGGCAGTTGTGGCCACGGTATTTCACAACGCCCCTCTGGCACATGTGAGACCCATCCCTTGGAAGGGTTGGGTTTAGACTTACTCCTATTGTGATAAAAGGAAACGTGTAGCAAACAAAAGAGGTAGGAAGCGCGTTTGTCAAACGCGTTTGTCTGAACAAACCTGGCAAACCTGGCACGCCCAGGAGTAGCATTGAGGAACTGGACTTCCAGCACACCCGTGATGCGCACGTGAGTCTGAGTCATATGATATGCCAGTCTACCAGGACCCTCCTGTCGGGGTGTCCAATGGACTACTCCACACTACCTATAGGCTTCCAGACAGGGCACCCCTTGGAGGGTCCTGGTATGAGTAGGTTAGTATATTGAGTAGGTCTACTCTCCATGATTTTCCATCCACACCGCCACGCCGAGTGTCGCTGCCCACGTGCAGCTGACTGAGGCTCTTCTCCCGCAGCAGCTGCTCCACACGCGCGACCTGCGCCCGGTACCAACCTTGGGCGTGGTACGTGGCGTGGAGCGGAAAAAAGGCCCCCACACCAAGCTCGGGCCAGTTGTTCGGAATGAAGGGCACGCAAGGGTGGAAATGCCAAGAAAACAATGGACATGTGGTCATGTTTGAAATTGGCTCATATCTACTCCAGGATGCTAGTGCCGCACAGGCACCTGAAGACGACCACTGTTTAGGAGTTGAAGAATGTTGAAGACCTCGAAAAATTGGGTTTGGGGTCAAAGATTGAGGGATGGTAAGGTCTTGCAACCAACTAAGGAGCGTCCAAGCCGGTAGGACGGGTACAAGTAGGATGTAGCACCATCGAAGGGTTGAGGGAATGAATGAGAGATTTGCCAGACCGTGCGACTGAAAACACTTGGGCATGGATGGGCATGGGAGGTTGACCGGGTTGACCATTGTCAGGTTGCTTCTCTGCAAGCTTGAAAGAGGTTGACTGAAGTGTGCGTGTGTGTCTGTGTGTGTGGGTTGGAAGAGTTGTGTGCTTGAAAGTTCAAGCGAGGGTCTTCATGAGTTTCTCTGGGTTGTTGATTCTCCACCCATGGCACCATGTCACATCCACGAAAACACACCATCCTCCGCGTTCCATGCTCATCCTTTTGTATTTGTTGTTTTCTGCAGCGCAGAACCGACGACTTCCACCCAAGCCACCAAGTCGTCTGGTTCTCGCCATCCAAGCATATCCAATGGCCAAGGCCACAAGTGCGCTTGGGAAAAAAAAAATAAGAATTCCAGGCCTTGGGTGCTTCTTGGGTCATTCCTATTACCTGCAGTACTGGATGATGATGGTTAGTAAAGGCCTTGTTCAACAATAGTGATAGTTTACTGACTGTTACAGGTAAATTCGGACAGACCCAAGCTATATCCCATATTATCCCATATTATCCATTATTTAAATTGATGATTGTCTTACGTTGCAGGCCTGGCCTCAAAAACGAGCCATCGGCTTTGACCACCCCTACTATATGATGGTAATACTAAAAGACACTCACCCTAGCTCCATTCCCATCCTCCATTCCCACCATTCTCCGTTGAGCGACAAAGGATGCCAACGCCAGGTCCGCAGGCGGACGCCAAGGCACTCGCCAGGTCCACGGCCTGCTGTGCCTCTCCGGCCGGAACAAGCGATGCGGCGCAGAAGAGCTGTATGAGCGAAGAACAACAAGCCCAGTGAAGGTCTTTTCAAGAAACCAAAACCCAGGGACGTGCGACGTGGGAAGAACGAGGGAAGAAGTCGCAGAACGAAAAGTCGAATCTCAAAAAAGTCCTTCATCATCATCTTCCTCATCTGTTCATCATCTGTTCCTTTCCTATCCTCATCATCATCTTCATCATCTGCACTCCTTTCCTCCTATTTTCCAACGAAACAGATCCCACTTCGGGCCTCCGTCTCGTTGAGCCTGGAGCCCGCGCTGTTGTCCACCGTCCGAAGGTGGCTCACACGCTCGCCTGGACCTTTCGCGCACCGGGCGCACGAAAGGCGCTGCGTTTCGGTTCCGTTCGCCACACCGGGCGTGGCGAGCGAAATGCGCTGCGACGGACTTGAGTGGGAGGGGGTGGACGAAAGGTAGGTCACTAAGTTCAACTTTCAAAGAGGTGAGAGAAGGGAGAGAGAGAGAGAGAGATCCGTGGGATTCGAAGAGCAGCAGCAGAAGCAGCAGCAAAGCAGCAGCTGAGAAGCTCCGTACGAATCCAATCACACCAAAGCAGCCAAATGACGAGGAGGGAGCAGAAGCTCGACACGAATCACACGAAGCCACGGTACCAGTACAACTGAAGGAACATTAACATTCACCCGTCCCAGGGCGGAGTTGATCCGCAGGGAGTGGTCATACAGAATCGCCTTTCGCAAGCTAAAGAAGTCATGGCGTGTGGGAGGATCCTGCCCCGAAGCTAAAGCTAATTGAACTCAGGTAGCTGAAGCTACCTTTCGTGACATGGTTTCAAACATCGTTGAAATAGAATAAACAACGATGTAAACATATGTAAAGCGTTTTTGTATTGAGGGACTGGTGGGAGACCGGTGGGAAACTTGGTATTCATCAAACCGGTGACCAGAAGAGACCCCAAACAGTACTAACGTAACGTACCCGACCAGCCATGGCTGTGGGTCATGACACCCGGACCCCGGACGATCGCTGGTAGGTTGACCATGTCAGGCGGTTCGTCTGTTCGGTTCGACTCGTCCGGTGCCATCTCATCAGTCTGACCGGAGGCTCGCCCACCTTCGAGGCTGGTCTGCCAGAAGATCAAGGGCATAGACCGGTCCTGTAGGGGTCCAGACGGTCCGGACCCTGGTCTCTTTTTGGGGGTCCAGATGGTTCCTCTCTTCGGTCTCTTTGGGGTATATATCATTCTGAAACCATTGCCTGACATCTGCAAACACAAAGCATGTTGAGGCATGCTTGATCCTTTTTGCAAAGTTTCAAAGCCATGCCATGGAGACGATGGAATATGATTCATGTAAAATGTCCATTGGATGACATGGGCAAAAACGAGTCATGCTTTGGGGGTGCTTTTCTGGTCGCTTGGACCTTTGGAATGGACTGGGACTTCATTTGTTTCAACTGTTCAAGTGCCAAATTCTCAAGAGCTGGAGAGTGGAAATCGTGGAGCAAGCTCGATGGGATCTTGAATTAATCGTAGTAGCACAGCTCGCGGGGGGGCGGGGGACCTCAAGTAGTGCGTGAAGTCTTGTGTGTCTTGTAGTCGTAGCTTGATGAAGAGTGTAGTCCTTGGGATCCCGTGTCTTGTAGTCGCAAAAGCGTTCGCGACCAACACAGATCTGAGTTCGCGACCAACACCTGGTACCAAAACCCTTTTGTTTCTCCTCCTGGTTCTCCCTTTAAAAGGAAGAGTTGCCTGGCAGAGATGAGATTTGACATTTATATACAGTATTGATTTCCTCGGTCCTTGCTGGGATGCTGCAACAATGTAGGGCTTCCCAGCACTGAGGCGTCATCTTGCAACCGCCCTGGAGCCGCGTACGCCACAGCTACCACCGCCAGCTACCACCCGCCACGGCCACGATGCGGTTACTGTCGCGGTGGTCAATTCTCAAAGCCTTGGAAAGCCCATTCAGAAGGAATGAGCTAAAGTCTGAAGATGCTTGTTCCGTCAATATCATGACTCAACTATCGGAGTAGACCACTAAATTCCATTAAATTGTATTCCTATAGAGTGCTTCGGGCTGGCTTCTACTCCTTTTTTTAACAGGTGGTGCAGCGGAAGCACCACACAGCCGGAAAAAAAGGGCTCGCACTTCCCGTTCATCACGAAGGACGACGACCGCCTGTGCAGGCTGTTTTAGGGGAAACTCCGAACGGAAAACTTCCCGAAATCCAACACAATCGAATTGAATGCGTGTGAAAAGTGGTGAACACTGTGTTGGTTCTGACTGCGCATCTGAATGCTGTCATCATCGCAGGATCTTGAATGCTATGACTCAAAAGCCGTTCCAGTGATTCTTAGTTGCAGTATGTTGCAGTAGAACGCCGGTTTTGACGCCACCCGACATCAACGCCGGCCGAGGCCTTGGTAGAACCTGCTGGATGGGAACGCACTGATGGCCGGAGTCATTCCTAGGCGATCCGGTTGACTCTCGTCCGACGCCAACACACACCCAAGTGGTTGGGGAGAATTCAATTGTAGTACTCCCTGGAATCACTAACATGGAAGTGGACAAATGGTCACTTGGCTTTCCTCTACCAACAGGGGGGTTTCCGCTTCCATGTTACTGAGTCGGAGGGTACTCCCTGGAATCAACACATTTACGTGGATGGCATGGCCCGTCAGATGACCATGAGATGAAATCCGAAGAACCTCCAAGTACGACCACACAGCGATCCGTGAACTCCACTTCCATGATGATCTGAGGGAGTGTAGGTTGCCAAGTGGGTGGCCAGTTTTCTGGGTGAAATCTGGTATGAGTCTAGTGCCTGATCAGCTTGCTTCCCGAATGAACCGCTGAACTCAGCAAGCTTTTCTCTAAACCAGTTGACAAACACCTTCCAACCGAAGGAAATAGAGTGAAACAGTTGCATTCAATGCCAACACCTGGTATTCTTGGGGACCTGCTGCTTTGTCGTCATTCAAATTTCTTCTTACAAACATCTTGCTGATGCTCGTCCAATTCCGCCATCTTGGACCTCAACGAAGCACATCTTCTGGTGTTGGCGCTCCAAAACATGCAAAAGGATTGTGGCGGAGGTCTTGGCAGAAAGTGGCTGACTGGTGCTTAGTAGGGAATAAGGGAAGTTTCGCCCCCAATAGAGATTCTATTGGATCCAGCCACCCTCAGCCACCCTGCTTTCGTCGCACCAGTCAGGTGAGTCGCACGACGTCTCGGCCATGTAACGCCTCGTGCCTCGTCTCCCATGGCCATTTCTCTGCAGATCACACGGACGTGGACGGACACCCGCATGGACATGGCGTGGACGCGTGGACGCTTCGGAGGCAACGAGGCAGACGGACTCCAAATAGCACCCCCCCCAAATAGCAGGTGTAGGTCCCCCACTAGCAGTCCCCAACAGCTAGGGGGGGAACCACCGGCTATTTGGGGAAGAACCTTCCACATGTTCCCCTCAACAGCCACCGGATCCTTTTCAGCTAGGTCCCCAACAGCCACCGGCAGCCACCTCCACTGGTCCCGACCGAGCGTCGGTACTGCATGGCCAAGAACTGGGGCTCCTCGGCCATCGTCAGCCGCTCGAAGAGCGAGATGCCCATGCCGCACGTCTCGGCCCGCACCGTGCCGTCACGTCAAAGAGGCCGAGTTCCCCGGGGCGAACTGGACCGGTGCTTTCGGAGAGCGCCGGGGATTGAAGAGGTGGAAACTAAACCAGGTGAAATCCAGAAATAGACCGGACCCATTACCGGGTATAGCCGGGGGAAATGCCGGGGATTGAAGAGGTGAACAGGTGACCAAAGAATAGAAATACCCCTAATAGAATTTGGTCAGGTATCATGTAGTGGTTGTTGGGCAACCCATGCATGAGAACCCTCCTTCTTATTTGTGAAATGAACTCACATCTTCTTCGGTCACTGTTGGTTCATCTGCATGAGATCATCCATTAACAAGCACTAAAAAATCAATGCGTGTCACTTGCAAAGATGTTGGACCTTCTTGCCACCTGTGTTTTTCAGAGAGTCTAGTAGTATCCAAACAACAAAAACAAAACATTGCCTCAACAAACAATGATGCTTCTTGTTACTACTAGTAACAAGTGCCTCGCTAGTAGGTGACAAGTGTCTCGCTAGTAGTAACAGGTGCCTTACTAGTAGTAACAAGTGTTTTGTTGTTCCCAAACGTTGATGTTCCTTTTGGAACCTGAACTGTTTGCTTCTCGCCTCTGCCAACGAGCTCTTGAGGATGGGCCTCAGCTGCTGCTGATCGCCTCAGGACGCCACCCTCCAAGCCTCCAACCAGCCATGGGCATACACTGCTATGTACCACCACCCAATTTGGTTGGTTAATAAACCCTGACTGTCTTTCCTTTTTACCCATCTAATAACCAATCTTTGGGTGGTGCTAGAACATCTACCTACTATTGTTTACAAACATATACTGTTAAAATGATCCTATATACAAACATGACCCTACTTAGGTTGTGGGCATTTTGCATACCTGCTTACATTTAGCAACTTCAGGGGACTTGTTCAACAACTTCGTTGCATGTATATTCTACACAAAATGCCTCACATCTCTCACGGCTCTTGCTTGACTGCTTGACGGCATGCACAAACAGTGCATGCTCCTGGTACTAGGTACTCGCTCATTCTCCCCTCTTTCAATCGGCTTTCACCAAAAAGAACATTCAAACATTCACAGAGCCAGTTCCAATCCCCGTACCCAACATGGATCTTGGATCTTGATCAGGGGAATATCTTGATCCAGTGCGTCAACCCAGATCTGCTCACATCCCTGAAAATCCATCGCCCAGGTCACCAAAGAGGCAGATCTGCTGCGCACGCGTCGCGAAGGTCAAAGGACCTCCGCTCGGACGCGAGGGCGCTCGGAGCGGCGAGGGCGACCCAACCTGTTCGGCACCATGAAGGGCTCCAAGTACCTTCTCAGAAGGTATCTGGACCCTCTAAAACCACCCCCAACACCTTCTGAGAAGGTACTTGGAGCCCTGGGGATTCATAGGGTATAGCATAGCTACTTTCATTACTTTCCAAGAAGCCATTCTTCAACAGAGAGGACCCAAAGGACCCAAACCCAGTGACTCGGACAAAAATCACCGAACTCGGCTGTGAAAAAGTGTCATCGAACTCTTCGCAGAAAAGAAAAAGAATCACCAACATCCGCTCTGAAAAATATCCGCCACCGAACCACGCTGCCGTTTCACAGAGATCGATCCAGCGGGCTAAAACGAACGCCCCCCCGCCGTTGGTGCCGAAGCACACAGGGCTTCCGGCTCAGTAGCTTGACCAGCCTCCGAGTGGATCGATGTGTGGATCAGTTCTTCATTCCAATAAGCTCAGAGCCATCTTGGGGTGTGGAATTCCATGGCCTTCAGTTCGACCATTAAAAGGAGTTCGGTTGACTTGGTGTTGTAGTCTAAAATCCTTAGTAAAACAATGGATTCAGCCCAGTATATCACTGGTGGTTCGAATCCTAGGGTAGATAGCGGTGGATGGGACTCCACTTACAATTTCTCTGGGGAGGTTCATCAACAACATATTTGCCTGGGACTTTGCCTGCAACCGCGCCTCTGTGGCGCATCTTCAGTGATACACGGTCCAACGTCAAAGGCTTCACATCAAACCGTCGTGCATGTTTAAAAAAAAAAGAAAACATCATTCAGATATCACTCCGAATCGTGAATCACATCATCACATGACTGCAAAACACATGTTGGGCTTAATTGGACCGCCTAAAAGGGGGATTGATCGATCGAAAGGGAACTGTTTCAGCAAGGAGTGGGACTTCCCAGGCTTACTGTCAGTACAAGCTTACTTCAAAGTAGATGGCGCAATGGTTGATTTGGACCCCCATCTGTTCGGGACCTCTTCGGTGCCATCGAGCCTCTGAAACCCCTAAGTAGTTTGGTTTTGCGATTTGAATGTCGGACAAGTCGCTGCGAGCTCATGGGACCAGTTGTCAGTCAAGACCTTTTTGGCGCAAGAGGATGGTGAAATAATAGACTGCAAGGGGCATGGTGACATGGGGGTCCAGGTTTTGACCCACACCCGATTGGGTTCTTTGCCTCCAGTCTATTGCTTTGACTACTGTGGTCCGAATTTGGAGCATCATCCTAAGGTCATTGCCATCTGTGTTCGATCATGTGTGAATCAATGGAAAGAATGTGTTTGTTCATTTCAAATGGATTGTGGGTTCCAAAGAATGCAAAACTCAAGCCTCAACAACACCCAGACCGCTGGTTCTTTTCAGAAACGACCTGGTCTGGCCAGGAAAGATTGGACCGCCGGTCTGGCGTTCACGACCCAGATGCACTCAATATGGGTCTCTGCAAACGGTTGATTCGCACATATGCTGCTCTATATTCAAAAGCAACTCTGGAAGCAAAGAACAACGACCAGAGGAGTAGGACACCAAACTGTTGAACAAAAAATAAACACCACATGCTCCACTCCAAACATCTTTTGAAAGAAGGGTCTGAAGTGAAAAAATGAGTGGTTCACCACAAAGCAGAATCCGCTTTCCATGACCCTGGCGCCTCATCCAGGATCACTTGCCAAAAGCTTGGCGCCCCATCCTGCTCGGATACCCACCACCCCAAGAGCCAGCGGTTGCTCGGAACCTCGCCCAAACACCCAACTTCGATCGATCCACAATAGCATCTCCCCAGTCTTTCCCTGGCCCTGAACATGCATGTGATACGGAGTGAAATGGTGCAGGTGTTCCAACCGCTTTGATGTGCCAAAGTGGGTTGAGAAGTGTCTTGCTTGCAATTACCCTAGCCTAGTTTCCCTCCAAGATCAGGTTCAACCTTGTGCAATGACCTGGGTTTGGAACTCTTGCTGCGCCCCGTCCATTTGGTCTGTTTTCAGCTGAAGACTTCAGGTTGAAGGGCGTTCACGCGCGCGAGGGCCATGTCTCGTTCTTCCAGGTCAAAGGTGGGATCATCTGGTCCCTCAAAGCCGATTGATACGCGGCTTGTAGGTATTCGTTTGACCCAACGTCACATGTTGGATGAGCTTTTTGCCTCGTTTTCCGCCCAACGACCGGCTCGCGATGCCCGTTCGGCGTGGACATGGGCACCAGCGTGACTGCTCCGAAGGGCAGGAGGCTCTAACCGTAGCAGCTGGAAGACAGTTTATAAGTTCGGCTGGACAGGGAGAAGCAAACGCAGCTTTCACTAGTTGGCTTGGAGGTGTTTGTTGTCCATCCGAAAACATCAAAGCCAGGATGATCAACCATCGATGGGGTCAACCATCGATTCTCAGAAAACGCAAGATTTCCCTCACTTCGCTCGTGTCCATTGAATTCAGTCGAGTTTCGGATAACGAAATTCACATCATTTCTGTGAATCTAAAAGTTCAAAAACAGCTGTCAACATCGTTCGTTTTGTAAGATGTGCCAGTGCGTGAAGGATCCTGTAGGCATTGTTTGCAAAAAAGGCATTGCCAGTTGTCATTCACATTGGGTCCACCAACTCTTAACTCTATACTCAGCCGACTACTCGGCTGTAGGTCTTCTGAGTCTACTCGAAGCTCAAACAGAATTCGGCGCCTCGCTGAGAGCTTGTGCGATGGCCATGCGCCGGCAAGACACCTCGCAGAAGAAGCGTCCCGTTCCAACAGGTGGAAGTAGTAAGGCCAGGAGCCCCTAGTAGCTTCTTGTTATTACTAGTAAGGCACCTGTTACTAGTAGCGATGCACTTGTTTCTACTAGCTTCTTGTTACGACTAGTAAGGCACTTGTTACTAGTAGCGATGCACTTGTTTCTACTAGCTTCTTGTTACGACTAGTAAGGCACTTGTTACTACTAGCGATGCACTTGTTTCTACTAGCTTCTTGTTACGACTAGTAAGGCACTTGTTACTACTAGCGATGCACTTGTTACTACTAGCGAAACCCAAAAAACCCTGAGAAGTGAGCGAACCCGATACCTGGAGATCTGGAGATGAAGCTCAACCTGGGGCTAAACATCAGATTGCTTGAACTCTACAGGCTCAACCAAAGTCCGCTAGCAATGCAGGAATCAAAAAATTAAGGCAGCTGCGTCTTCCAATGGTTTTCGTCACCTGCTCTGTGTGCAATCTGCAGTGAGAAATAAAAGGCCAGCTGAAACCCGAAATCATGAGGGATGGATGTACACAAGTTCTTTAGCCCACTTCGGAGATCTAATTCTCACACCCCATTAGAACCCCATCCAATCCAAGTGACACACGTGCTAAAGACGATGTCAGCCTCCCTCAGCTCCGCCTTCCGCGCCTCTTGCAAGGCCTCCACGATTGTTGCGCCGGCAGATCAAGCCAAACAGAAAATGTAGAACCCCAGCCTTTAGGCAAGACAAAGGATGCCAATAACGACTCTACATGACTCACGCATGTTTTGGGAATTCTCTGCACTGCTCAAGCCTCATTCCTTCCGCATCCCTTCTTCCCTTCTGCTGATCTAACCGGCCTGTTGGTACGTCCGACGAAGCTGATCTGCTCGGGGGCCTCCGCATGGCTTCGCCGCGAATCGCGAAAACCGCGTTGGTGGCGTCACCTCGTCCACCTCGTCACAACTGAAAACATGGGCTGTGGGGGGTCATG